ATGTTTTATACTTTTTCCTCCCAAAAATGATAAAGTATTATACATTACAATTTCCACACTTCTTCATTACCTTTCAAACCAAAATTAAAGTTGTTTTTCCTTATTATTATTATTATTATTATTATTATTATTATTATTATTATTATTATTATTGTTACTCCGTATTATTGTTATCATCATTATCATTATTATTATTACTATTATTATTATTATTATTAAACAAAAATTGGCTCAAGAAAATTACCTTTCTTTACCTTTCTGTAGTTCATGTACTCCCTCCGTCCTCTGTATTTGTCCACTTTCATTTTTACACACCATCCAATGCACTTCTTTAATCCATTTTATCTTGTAATTTGTATATTAAAAAATTATAGAAATTATATATTAATAATCTATATGTTAAGACAAATCAAACAAGATCACACATGACTATATTTAGGCTTACACATTGAGAGAATTTGATGAGTCAAAGTGCTTCGATGAACAGTCCAAAAGTCAAATGTGGACAAAAACAGGGGGACGGAGGGAGTATTTCTTTTTACTCTAAGAAAAGGGTTAGTACACTGCAAAAATAATTATACTTCAACGAAAATTTTCACAAGGCAATAGCCAAATAGAAAATACTCCCTCCATTTCTATAAACAATTCCTATCTTGACTATGGGCTAGTAGCATGGGTGCACCCTCATGGTTTACCAAAAAAAAAAGCAATCTCCTCTATTTTCAAAAGTTATTTATAAAGTTAATATAATTTTCAAATATAGCACACATGTCTCCCTTACCTATTTTTATGGCAAAAATGACATTTATGTCGTTTCTGTTCCTCGATCTCGTATTTTCTCAATTTTATTTTCCTTTATTATATAAATATATAAAATAAAATATATGCTTTCCATCTTAAATTAAAAATTTCCATGATGTATTTTTGAAAATAAAATATTTTTTGGAGAATGTTACAAAAGAAAATGAAAAATAAAATATTATGGACAAAGTAAAAGTAATAATTGAAAAAGGTATTGAAAAGAAAGAAAAATATAAAAAACAACCTTTTTTCCTTTAATTTCGTATTTTATTTCATCTTTCTGTTCTTCTTTTTTTAAAGTCCTTAAAATAGTATTTTTATTTTTAAAAAACAAATAAGTTAGAATTTTTAATTAGAGACAGAGTGAGTATATGTTGGTGATTTTACAAGGGTTTTACAAATAACTTTTTAAAATAGAAAGGATTTTGACGTTCTTTTTGTAAACCACGGGGTAACCATGCTATTACCTCCTTGAGGGCCTTGACTATTAGCTAAAATAAGGAATGGTAAAACTGTGGGTGATTTTCCCATATTACCGCATGGGCAGCTCAGTTGGTCGAGAACGTCAAATTTTGGACCAATAACCAGGGATCGAGTCCCGCAAGCGGCACTGGGAAACTATCCAAAAATCCCATAAATGGCGAGGAGGCTCCTTGTGCGTGGTAGGCACAGGTCTAGCGTTCTTGACCGACTGAGTCACCATAATTTACCTCCTCCACCATTCCTGTTGGGGACCCGGTGGTGGGGGCGCCTGGGGTAGGCAATTCCACCTTTTGGACCGAAAAAAGAAAGGGAAAATTGAACTCTCACATCAAAATAATAATCAATTATTTTAATGAATAGTTGAGGCATTGAATATCTTTCATAGTCCTCTATTTACCACAGGTGCGGTTTTAGTGACACCAGCTTTTAGTGACACTACCGGTGGCACTGTCATTTTGGAACACTTCTGGTGCTCCGTTTGTAAAATTGACGGTTCCTACCCCCCTAAGCCACCCCATAAACCCCCCACCCTACCCCAGCCCCTGCACCCCCACCTCAACCTTGCCGTGAGCCCCCCACTTACGAATGGAGCACCAGAACAGGGGGGGAGGAACCGTCAATTTTACGAACGGAGCACTGAGAGTGCTCTAAAATCACAGTGGCACCGGAGTGTCACCGTACTCCGGTGTCATTTGAACCCCACCGATTTACCACACGATAGAGGAGGCCGACAAAAGGGGGTACAAATTTTTTGTTTAGGAAAATTTTAAACTCCCCTCCAATTCCTTCTATTGTTTCAAAACTACGCCAATAAATACCCCTGCACAATCCTGCATTAAACATGCATTATCTTTCCCCAAAGAGCACATCATTAGTTAGAGCATTGGCAGTGGCGAGGCAAATGCCCGTCACGCCATGCCACATCAGCTTTGTCATGCTTGAATGCCACATTCCTCCACGCAATGCATGTCTTGTGCGAGGTAGTCTTCTTTTTTTTATTTTTTATTTTGTAGAAAAAAGGTTTTTTTTAAAAATGAAGTGCATATATTTTTATGAAAAAAAAGATAAGTAAAAAAATTTTTATAATTAAAATATGTCACAAAAGTGTAAAAAATGACAAAAATAATTACTTGCCACTGCATGTCACGCCACTCCACCCGCTCGACACACGGTGACTGGACTCTTTTTTATTGGTTGAAATGCTCCACGTCACCGTGTGACATTCAATTTTTTTACTTGCCATTGCCAATGCTCTTACAAATCACTTTCTTGCTTTGTCCTTAGTGGCAGCCCAGTTCTTTTCCACGCCCACTGAAACAACAAATTTCGATGCCGATTCCTCAAAATAACTTGCACAAATACTTTCACTTTCCATCACAGATACAGAAAGGCGTCTTCACACTTAGTCACTTAACAAATGGAGAGTAAATGCCTCAGAATATCTTGCACAAACACATTCAAGTCCCATCACAAGCACACAAAGGGACCTTCACACTTAAGCATTTCAAAATAGGGACTGAATGTAATGACCTAAAGATTGACTTAGTAATTAGCCGTTATTTTAAGAAAAATAAATATAACATTTTATTCTATTTTCTGACCTAAAATATGAACTATTTGTTAAGTCAACATTTTTATTTGAAAATTAGGTAATTGGGTATATCTCATAAAATGGTGACCAACGGTATATAGTTTGTTAAGTTTTGAGCTTCCGTGTAAAAGATTATGCATGAAATAGATGTTATAGTTCAATAATAAATAGAAATATTTTATAATAAATAATATTAAAATCTAAACCTACACCCCGTCCATTGAGGGTGCTGACTTTGTACGTTCCCGGCCTAAGGATGGCTACGACCCAGTATGGCCCTTCATAATTCTTAGCGAACTTTCCTCCTTTAGTGGGCTAACTGGCATCTCTCTTTTGTAGGACTAAGTCCCCCACTTGAAACTCCCTTGATTTGAATTTGCGGTCGTAGTACTCTTTTACTTGCCTCCGATAGTTTTCAGCTTTGAGGAAAGCTCTTTCTCGCCTTTCTTCGATTAAGTGGAGGTCTGCGCCATTGCTTCTTTGTTTTGTTGGGGGTCGTAGGCCTTCTCTCTCCAATTGGGGACGATCACTTTGGACGGTACCCTGGCATCGAACCTGTAGCACATTGAAAATGGAGTTTTGTCGGTGGCCCTCCTCGGCGTAGGAGACGCGATTTTAGTTTATTTGATTTTATTGTGTAAGGGTCTTAATCTTAAGTGACGTGCTTTATAGTTCTTGTATGCATCGTCAGACACAGTAATTATAACCAGGCCGCAATGGCCATGCATAATTAAGAGCTTGGCATGATAATACATTACTCTTCCATAAATAGAGTCATTTTTATTGAGGTACGACTTTTAAGATTTGATAAGATATAACTATATGCCGCATTTGGATTGAGGTGAATCTAGGTAAACACGGAGTAATTTGGTCCACTTTTTGATGGAACTTATTTGATATTATTAACTTTAGTTAACTGTGAGTCTGTGATGAACCATTTACCTGATTAACTCCATTTTTTGACCCTTAAAGTTGGGGGGTAATCAGGATGAAGGGTAATAAGTGAATTAAACATTCATTATTCCACCAAACCTGATCAGTTTGGTAAATCTATAACACTATCCAAATATTTTATGAAACAAATTACAACAACAACAACAACAACCCAGTTAAATCCCACAAGAGTAGGGTCTGGGGAGGGTGTGTGTACGCAGACCTTGCCCCTACTCGAAAGTAGAGAGGCTGTTTCCAAAGAGACCCCCGGCTCAACGTCGAAAGTTGCATTGCTTGACTAACTGCTACTTCATTAATTAAAGAAGAGAAGCGCAGACAGTTTAAAGATCCATTTTGATTTATTCCATCACACCCCAAAGCCAAAAAATGGTGAAATTTTGGCTCCATCAGAGATGATGGAACGTGACCTTTATGAAACAAATTATTTCCATTTTATGAATCATGACTTTTTTTTGGAACAACTTTGAAACATGACCTTTTTGGGATAGAAGAAATGTGTGTGAGAGTGTGTATATAGCATAGACACATACAAATATATTATACACCATACACACACAACCATAAAAATTCAGCTTTGCCAGTGCACGGACTTTAGTAGTGTCTGACTGTCTGCCATTGTTTGTGTAGTCTACTTTCAAATATTTCTTAATTTACTATGCAGAGTGCTTCACTTCTTCAACTACTAAGTTTGAGGATATTATGATTGCCTGAATGTCCATGATCAAGTCTTGAAAAAATTGTATTTCTGAAATATTACATTTTTTTTCCATTTTGGGTAAAATACTCTTCAGCTTTGCTTATTTCATTTCATTAGTAAATAAACTAATGCCAAATTATTTCATGAAGTGAATTTTGTGAGTAAAAGGGCAAGTGCAGCCCTACTTATTTGTGAACAAAAACTTGATATTTGTATCATAGTTTTTTTACTGATTGAACATTATGCTTGAAATGCTTGTATATCAGCTTGGTGTTTATATCCTTCATACTTTATATAGGTACTGTACTGGGGGGATTAGATGTGAGATGGCCTCAGCCTATATTAAATCAAAAGGTGCTGGTTTTGAAAATGTATTTCAGGTAATTCTATCAAAAGGACTCTGCATTTATTTCGAAATAGCTCTTTAAAATCACCAGGACTTGTTTATTGGAAGACTTTAACATGGGTGCCAGTGTGCTTACCTGCTTACTCGAATTGGCAACTTCTTTGCAGTTATATGGTGGGATTCAGCGTTATCTAGAACAATATCCTGATGGGGGGTTTTTCCAAGGAAAGAATTTTGTGTTTGATCATAGGTATGGCTCTCCCGTAGTTGTTACGTCATCGAGTAGTCGTTCACCATGCGTCGGGTCACCGGGAAGGGACGACCGGTGTTGGCGACTAGCGACTCGAGTAAACGATGCATCACGCCCACGATGTGAGATTAAAAAACCCTAACCTATGGCCGCTGGATTTCAAATATGAAAATCCCAGTCTATCACCATTCACCACCATTGCGAGTTGCGACACAGATCTGCTGCGGCTGTGGCTAGAGGGAAGTAGATCTGTCGCCATCATTCGTTGCAACAGGCGTCTTGTTTATTAAGCTTTAGTCTGTCGTAGGTTCCTTCCTTTTAATGTCCCATATTTTGTTTCTTTTCATTATCATTATCTTTAATTCTTGTTTTGTTTTACCTTTTTGGGGTGGGGGTGTGCCAACTGCCAAGGGATGGGTCTGTTTGGGTTTGTTATACTCCCTCCGTCCCAAATTAATACTCTCAGTTTGACTTCCACGGAGTTTAAGAATAGTGAAAGTGATGCAGAGAGAGAAAAAAGTTGAGCAACAAAAAGCTTTCCAAAAAAGGAAAGAAGAGGATTAATTTGGGACAACCCGAAAAGGAAAAAAGCAGGATTATTTTGGGACGGAGAGAGTATTATTTTTGCAACTAAATTTTGTGTTAGATAAGGGTATTGCACTTATCGACTAATTATTGACCGACTAATCGATTAGTCTATTCGATTAGTCTGGACTCATCCACGTGACAACCATGGGCTCTACATCATAGTCCTTTCATGATTGCCTATTCTGTGATCATCTTTATAAGGTCAGATTACACCTTTCTGGGAGATGCTGGAATGCTACTGTAGACTGCTAGAAAGTAATTACTCCGTAGTCCGTACTAAATAGAAATTAGCCAGGTTGAATCATTAGTTGCCATTTAAATTTTACGAGTGAATGGCTGATTGCAGAGTCTCAGTGGGGAGCTTGGATTCAAAAGTTTTGGGTACCTGCCTTCTTTGTAACTCATCCTTTGATGATTATTCTTCTCGCAGACGGTGCATTTTCTGTAGAATGCTCGTGTTAATCTGCAATAGCTGTCAGGTATGGCTAGTTAAAAATGTTTTGGCAAGCTTGCAACTTCTATCATGAGTTTACTTAACATATGTGGAGACTTGTGGTGTTTATTTGTAGTTTTTTCATGAGAAAAATTGTTATTGTACCACGCAGGATGTAAATTCTACTTATGCTTGTGAACTATGCCAAAAAGCTGGCAAGGATGTTCGCTCGGTTTTGGAGATGAAAGTTCACAAGTCAGTAGAAATATCTGAAGGTGGAGGGGATAAACCTGAAGCTGTTTCCACTTTGAATTCAACAGAATACTTGCCTATTGTTGCACGATCAAATGGTAAGGCCCGTGATCGTAAACAAATTCAATTTTTGTTTGTCGTGAGATAGGTAAAACTCCCTTCATCCCATCATAATGTAGGATTTATTTGGGTTTGGCTTCACATGTTCTTCAAGAAAATGAAGGAGATTTTGGTTATTCCACAATTTAAACTTTTTTGAAAAGAATGGGCTCACAAGGTAAAAATGGAAAAAGGATAACTAAGAGAGTTAGTTGGTGGAATTTAACTTTAAAAAAAAGATCCAACAAAGTAGGAGCACTTGATGTATTTGGTATGTCAATAACTGAATATATGACATCATTGCTCTCTTCTCCTTGTAGTTGTAGCAGAGGTGAGGTTTGATTGTTAGAATACATAGCCCATCCCTAGCCCTACTCTTGAGTGGGATATATTGTTTTTCTTTTGTTTGGTTTGAGTGAGATGTGCATTTTGACTCTATGGTGGTAAAGTCAACCGCATACATCATACCCTCTCTAGACCCCTCATGTGGGAATCCACTGAGTTTGTTGTTAGTTTGGTTTGTATATGTGCCTTCATTATGTCCTCGGACAGTTTAACCGATATTTTGCAAAACATGATTCAGGGACACAAATGTCCAGAAGAAGACTGAGGATTTTGTGCTTACATGGCTTCCGCCAGAACGCTTCCGGATTCAAAGGAAGATCGGCCTCGCTAGCCAAAAAACTCAAGAACATTGCAGAGCTTATCTTCATCGATGCACCCCATGCCTTACCCTTCATCTACCAACTCCCTCCACCAGACCATCACTGCAATCTCATTTCGTCTTATCAGTCCAAAGACACCAACCTTCCTACGGGTGGTTGCAATAGAAAGTTTGCATGGTTGGTGGGACACGGGCACACACCAGAGACCAACTCTAATTGGAAAATGTCAGACCGTAAATTTGATCATCTACAGTACCAACACCAAACCGAGGGGTTTGACGAATCACTCTCGTACCTGAAAACTAAGGTTTCTGAAGGAGGGCCGTTTGACGGGATCTTGGGGTTCTCACAAGGAGCTGCAATGGCTGCTTTACTCTGTGCACAAAAGGAGAAGTTAAAAGGAGAAATAGATTTCAGGTTTGCAGTTTTATGCTCCGGCTTCGCTGTGAATATGGACGACCTCGAGCAGGGGTCAGTAAACTGCCCTTCGCTCCACATATATGGGAATGACAAGGGCAGCGACAGGCAGATAGAGACCCGAGCTAGTCAACGACTTGCTTCCCTGTTTGAGGATGCCTCCTGTGTGGTCATTGAGCATGATTTCGGTCACATAACTCCAACACGCTCCCCATACATTTACCAGATCAAAGACTTTCTTCTCCGTTTCCTGTAATTTACGGATGCCCCGATGCTGTTGACTGGAACCAGTATTGAAGAAGCTCATTGAAAAGAATTCGAGTTAGCCTATAGGTATGATCATTGTACAATGCTACTAGAGTGACAAAGGAGTTCATATTTATTACGTGATGTGGAGTGAGGCATGATCTTAGGTTCCGTCTCATTTTGTTATCTGCACGTATGAATCCCATTTGGCCTTATTTTGTTTGAGTTGTTTTAAACTTACGTGTCATTTTATACTCGCCATTAGGCAATTTTTCCGTTTGATTTTACATAATTTTAAAAAAAAAAATTAAAAATGAAAAATCCTAAAAAGTGTGAACTTTATTTTGAGACATTAAAGAATAGGAGTAATCTTGCTGCAATATATGATCCACTGCAAGTTTTAGCAAGTAGGTGAAGGGGTAGTGATCTAGAATGCAATCACTGTGTTTTCTTTCACATCTTTGGGTGCATAAATAGAAAAGGATTAGAATGTTGGCCGTTCACCCC